AGGGAACGTCTCGGTTACGTATGTAACCATTGTTCCCTGAAGGAGGGAACAGAGACGTCACGTCCCATCGCCACAGCTCCTGTACCACCGCTGAACGGCCGGGTCACCGGCTTGGCTCCTCAGCGAAAACCTGAATATGCGCTGTATCTGCTGCCTACTTATACTCACGCTGTGATCAGCAGCAGCTGGATGCAATAATCGCATGCCAATGTGCATTGGCTCGTTTAGTTTACACTCAAAGTAGACTGGTCCCTCTAAGCGAGATCCCAATTCGTCGGTCCTCCGACGTGACGTCTCCGTTCCCTCCTTCAGGGAACGAGGGTTACATACGTAACCGAGACGTTCCCTTTAAACCTAGCCAAAAAGCCATATGTATTGACTGTAAAACACATTAAACTTTAATAATATGCATTAATGGTGTAATTGCTAAATTTTCGTGTCAATCCATGTTCATATTTATTGAAAACAGTGCGCTGTTACTTTAATTCAACGCTTGCAGCGCAGCAATAGACTCGTGTGGAAAAGATCTCTGCTCTGCTGCAGACGTGCTGCTGGACCGCAACCATGAGCAGTGAACGCTTTAATCCGTTAACATGAGCGCAGAAAAAATACGCACCGCATATGCACTGCAATCTGAGTACTGTGAACCTGGCGTAATGTGTGTGCGCTGCGAGTGTGCATGAGCGCACAGTCGTCAGGAGAGTGTGTGAACGCTGAATGGTTAAACACTGGCAATAATTAAAAAGTAATGCAATTTATAAACTTTAGTGACGATGTGACACTGCCTCGATTGTGCAAGTAACAATTCCTGTGTCAACTGTGCAGCTCGCTTATAGACAGATGCGATGTGTGGTGATTGAAGCCATTTGTGTATTTTGAGAGAGAAAGAGAGAGAGTGCGCGGTGATTCACTCACACTGTTTGTGAAGTTATGTCTCACACAAGGTTTTCATATTACTTTACAAGTTATTTAATGAAGAAATATAGCATTATAATTATTTCACCCACACCGGACAGAGACTGAGACGATGCCGCTGCATGTCGTGCCAAACCTCTCATGGCAGCGTCATCAGCTTGAGATCGTTTTTTTGAGATCTGCCTTTTTAGAGACCGCCGATCAATCATCTCAACGTGATTATCGGCCGATAGTGATCATAGCCAATCAATTGGAGCACCACTACTGATTATTAAAGTTGTTTGCACATTATGCAGCAGTATGATATACTATAATTATGTGCAATTTCCCTCTTTGTGAAAACAGCAGTGGCCTATATATACATAATCGCAAAAGTTCCCCTGAGAGATATAGCAACATTGCTGACTTCCATTGTACATAGTACTATAGTGCCATCTAGAATTCAAACAACAATTCAGCATCTTCTATGCTTAAACTCTTGAATATTTAGCTGCACTACTGTTTCTTCCATAATGAGTCAATGATTCAATATACCAACCCCAGAGCATTCAAAGATATAATAAAAGCTGCTACTTTCTCTGTAATGCCTCAGAGGCTCCTGCTCTGCATACATATTGAGATGGCAAAGTGGACTGTGCCACTGCTTCCACTGCTGATTGTGGTAGATGGTATATGTTTCACAGAGTTAGCACAAGCTTGCAGTCGGCTTGGTCAGCCTGCCCTCCCTCTACTTTCTGCAGAAAAAGACATTAACATTGGGGCGATTTTTACAATCCACAGAAATGCTCTGCTAAAGATTCATCCGTTCAATTCCAAACCAGAATCAACAACATGTGTCAGGTCTGTATGATGACATTATGATAAAAAAAAATATTAATTATTTATAAATAATTGTACAAAATATATAGTTGAATCTGACTCTGTGATTATTCTTTGTAAAATGTAATTCAAACTGGTTTATTTTCACAGCTTGAATTTGCGTGAATTTAAATTTGCTCAGACACTGATTTTTGCCATTGAGGAGATAAATAACAGCACACAACTGCTGCCTGATGTTTCTTTGGGCTATAAGATATATGATTCCTGTGGCTCTATAGCTCAGACTATCCAATCGGGCATGGCTTTGATGAATGGCTATGACAAGACTTTGAATGATACGTCCTGCTTTAGACCACCAGCTGTTCTTGCCATTATTGGAGAGTCAACATCCTCACCCACCATTGGTTTAGCATCTGTTATTGGCCCTTTCAGCTTACCTGTTGTAAGATCTCTGATGAACCAATAAAATAAATAAATAATAATACTAAATATAGACATTTTGTAAATGTTTTAAATGGTACCAGTCTGTTTAGAATTAAAAATTGGAAGAATATACAGAAGTGACATTGTGGAAGATGAAATGTAAAAACACTATGTGAGAAGTTGGTTAAATATGTGGTTAATACACTGTTTTGTTGTTGTTGTTGTTTCCCAGATCAGTCATTTTGCCACATGTGCATGCCTGAGTGACAGAAAGAGGTATCCATCCTTCTTCAGAACAATACCCAGTGATTATTACCAAAGCAGAGCTCTGGCTCAGCTTGTCAAGCACTTTGGCTGGACCTGGGTTGGGACGGTCAGGAGTCGCAGTGACTATGGTAATAATGGCATTGCAGCATTTGAGGAGGCTGCAAAAGAAGAGGGGGTTTGTATTGAATACTCAGAGGCCATTTTTCGAACTGATCCACAAGAGCAGTTTCTGAAGACACTGGAAGTGATAAAAAAGGGCACCGCCAGGGTGGTGCTGGCTTTTATCGCACTAGGAGATTTTGTCCCCCTTGTGAATTTAATTGCGCAACACAATATCACAGGGCTGCAGTGGGTTGGTACGGAATCCTGGATTACTTCTCGAACTCTAGCAGAAACTAAGGAATACAGTTTCCTTTCTGGAGCAGTGGGCTTTGCTATAGCAAATGCCAAACTTGTCGGCCTACAAGACTTCCTAGTAAATGTGCACCCTGATAAAGAACCACGCAATGAACTGTTAAAAGAATTCTGGGAAACAGCTTTTCAGTGCTCTTTCAGGAAGAGTGGCAGTGGTGGCTGTACTGGTTCAGAGAAATTGGCAGAACTCAAAAATGAATATATTGATGTATCAGAGCTGCGAATAGCAAATAAAGTGTACACTGCAGTGTATGCCGTTGCACATACACTACATAATACATTAAAAGACTTTTCCTCCAACACCAGTAAAAGAGAATGGCCTTCACCAAAAAAGGTATGTAAGAGCATAAGAAATATTAGGAAAAGAAGAGAGACTGGAACTAAATACCAATCATGTTCCTAACATTTCATATTAGGTGTTGGAGTATATAAAGGATGTAAGATTCACTGTTAAAACAGGTGAAGAAATCTTCTTTGACACAACTGGTGATCCAGTAGCGAGATATGACTTGGTGAACTGGCAGTCTGCCAAGGATGGAACTCTGCAGTTTAAGCATGTGGGTCTCTATGACAGCTCACTGCCTTCAGCACAACGTCAGCGTCTTCAAGTCAATCAAGAACACATGCTATGGGCAGGGAACAGTGAACAGGTACACCAATACTGTATATAACACATTATTGAAAGCATATGAAATATCAGTTTAATTATGAAAAAGACAGCCAATGGGCAAAAATAATTTATATGAATGTGTCTGCAAATATTATGAAAGCAGAGTGGTAAAAAAAAATGGGAAAAAATATTCCATTGTGTAAAGCAACTAATTTAATAATTCAAATAATAATTTATGGTTTTAAATGAAAAATTATTTTCTCATAGTTGCCTGTGTCCATGTGCAGTGAGAGCTGCCCCCCCGGCACTAGGAAGGCTGTGCAAAAAGGACGACCTGTCTGCTGTTATGACTGTATTCCATGTGCAGAAGGAGAAATCAGTAATGGCACAGGTAAAATAGGACATGCTTCATTGCTGTCTCATGCGGTCTCATGATAGTGTGATAAAGTGAAGTGTAATACTTCCCATTAGTCAAATTTCCAATCAATATGTATTTATATATATTTTTTCCAAATTCCTTTTACAGATTCTAGTGACTGCTTTCCTTGTGATTTGGAGTACTGGTCGAATGAAAGCAAAGACAGATGTGTATTAAAAGTGGTTGAATTCCTTTCCTATACAGAAATCATGGGGATGGTGCTTTGTATTTTCTCTTTCATTGGGTTGTTATTAACGATAATTGTATCTCTTCTCTTTTATCTTCATAAAGAAACACCTATTGTCAGAGCCAACAACTCAGAGCTGAGCTTCCTGTTGCTCTTCTCACTCTCACTGTGTTTTCTCTGTTCACTTACTTTCATTGGTCAACCCACTGAGTGGTCCTGTATGTTGCGTCATACAGCATTTGGGATCACTTTTGTCCTCTGTATCTCCTGTGTTCTGGGGAAAACAATAGTGGTATTAATGGCTTTTAGGGCTACACTTCCAGGAAGTAATGTCATGAAATGGTTTGGGCCTCTTCAACAGAGACTTAGTGTTGTTTCCTTAACATTAATACAGGTGATTATATGTGTGCTTTGGTTAACAATATCCCCACCTTTTCCATATATGAATTTGAGCTATTTCAGAGAAAAGATCATCCTAGAATGTAACTTAGGTTCAGCTCTTGGTTTCTGGGCTGTTCTGGGTTATACTGGTCTGCTATCAATCTTGTGTTTTATTTTAGCTTTTCTTGCTCGTAAGCTCCCTGATAATTTCAATGAAGCCAAGTTCATCACATTCAGTATGCTCATATTCTGTGCTGTCTGGCTCACATTTATACCAGCTTATGTCAGTTCTCCTGGAAAATTTACTGTAGCCGTTCACATATTTGCTATTTTAGCGTCAAGCATTGGTTTACTATTTTGCATATTTGCTCCAAAATGTTACATAATTTTGCTAAAACCAGAGAAAAACACAAAGACACACATAATGGGTAAATCTTCATCTACAACTCTTTAAATCCACGATTAAGCATATAATTGAACAACAACGATGTATAAAAACAAAAACAATTATTTGTTTTCTAAGAATTCAAATTCAGAAAAGTAACAGAAATTGTTCTGGGTTATACTGGTCTGCTATCAATCTTGTGTTTTATTTTAGCTTTTCTTGCTCGTAAGCTCCCTGATAATTTCAATGAAGCCAAGTTCATCACATTCAGTATGCTCATATTCTGTGCTGTCTGGCTCACATTTATACCAGCTTATGTCAGTTCTCCTGGAAAATTTACTGTAGCCGTTCACATATTTGCTATTTTAGCGTCAAGCATTGGTTTACTATTTTGCATATTTGCTCCAAAATGTTACATAATTTTGCTAAAACCAGAGAAAAACACAAAGACACACATAATGGGTAAATCTTCATCTACAACTCTTTAAATCCACGATTAAGCATATAATTGAACAACAACGATGTATAAAAACAAAAACAATTATTTGTTTTCTAAGAATTCAAATTCAGAAAAGTAACAGAAATGTATCCAATAGTTTTGTTTTGCTTTTTTTCACAAAAAAAAAACAAAAAATCAGTCAATCGAGCAAGATTCAAAATTTCAACATTCAAGAAAAAATAAAAAAAATAAATAAAAATACAATAATAATAATACATACATACATACACTCTGTTGAATTGGTGTATTCCCATGTAATATCATGCGTAATGATAGCTACAAAATAGCAGCACTACTTTCAGGGCTGTCTGACCCATTAGTTCTGCTCTCCACAGGCTGTGGCAGGTTCTGCAGTGTAGGCCGGGTCAGCACTAGACACAGTGGACTCTCAGTGACCATCTCCATCACAGCCATGCTCTGGACCTGCATTATGTACTTCTTAATGAAAAATGACATTGACTTTTTGCATTTAACAAGACATGGAAATTTTATTTGATACCATGTATTACTTACATCGTTCTGCATTTTTGCATTTAATCATGCATCCAATTATTTGGTTTATTATTTACATTTATGTACACAATCATATACCTTTATGTGCATGTTGAATAAATAAATAAATAAATAAATTAATAAAAAAATAAAAACTTTTTACAGTTTTCTCACTTCTCTTACTACACCAGACAATCAATCAGTTATTTTCCTGAAATCTGATTTGTCAAGCAGTATTATAAGAGTGCTGATATAACAGTTTAACAGCACTGGGACATTTTATGGTTTGTATCATATGAATATGAAATAACATATTTTTATATTCAATTCCTACTTTTTCAGTATATAAAGATATGGCAGATATCATAAGAGCAGAAGTATGCCATTTCATATTCATACACATGGTAGAGCAGTCTTTTTTTACACTTTTCATTGTTACATCACATCAATAGGTGGCAGCAAGTGACAGTCCATCCATCCATCGTCCAAACCACCTGTCCTTTAGACAGCTGCAGTGTCCTTATGAATGAGCCAATTCATTATTTCTTCAATTGATTAGTCATTCACCTGGAACAAAACAAATGGTCTGTGCCCATTTATTTGTTTTGTAGGTGGCTCTGAAATAGTGTTAATTTCGTTAACGAAAATATGACGAAAAATGTTCTTTGAGGAGCTTTTAGCCAATGACTAAGACATGGATGATGACAAGACGACAATAAGGTCAATAAACGATAACTCTATATTAACATGCAATATCGTTGACGAAAATTTTTTTACAAAAAAAAAGACTACACCAAAATTGCTTTTAACTTTTGTTGAAAAAAAGACAAAATATTATTGCGGACTGCTGTACATGCCTCTACTACACTAGCTTCCATGTGTGTGGTTGCCAGATATCAAGAGTTCAAATAACTAAATCTTAAATCTTCTAAGCTTATTTTTTGCAATCTGGCAACCATGCACACATGCTTGTTCTTCATTGCGGAAGCACCAATGATGATCTAAAAACACTGACAAATAAGTAAGTTGAAGTTTAGCGATCTCCAGTGGTGTAATGTAACGAAGTAATAATACTTCGTTACAGTACTTAAGTATTTTTGGGAGTATCTGTACTTTAATTGAGTTTTTATATTTCAGCCAACTTTTACTTTTACTCAAATAAATAAAATGTATTCTGTACTCCTAAACATTTCCCCAAAGCATATCTGTTACTTAGTCAGAAGAACACGGACTGTAGGAAAGCAGGTTTGACGAATCAGTGGTCTGGCGTCTGCAAGTTAGACTCCTAAAAACACCTTTGCTCATGTGCAAACAAGTGCACGCACAACCGCGAGTGATTTCATTTTCCACTCAAGTCGAGTCTGGGGTGTGCGATACAGCATCGTCTGCGATAATATGGTAAGTGTTGTTGTAATGATGTGCGATCTGACATCAAGTAGGCCATATCACCAAATCACACACAGAGTGCATGCATGTGATTTATTAGTCTATTAAAACTCAAAATTCAAGACTTTCTAAATTGTAGACGGCAAAAATGCTTCTGTATGCTTTTTATATTTATTCAATTTAATATAGTTAACTTAATCTATATCACACAAAGAGTGCCGTTTTTATGCAGATATCAGCATGAACATTTTATACAAGTTCAATAAAGCAATAAGTGACTTACATTTTAGACATAATATTGCTTGTTTTTGCTCAATTTTGCCAACAAAAATAGTTCCAAACAAAGTTCACACAGCACTGTTTTGCGTCTCTGAGAAATGGGCGGTGTTTACTTATTGAATGAATCAGCTTTTTGGATGAATCGGTTGAATAAATTATTCAGTGATTCACTCATTAACACGGTCAAATGCTTTGTTTCTGAATGAATCAGTCGTTTGAATGAACAGTCACTTGCTGTCACCTACTGGCGGTTTTACTTTCACATTTCGACAATTGTTTCATGTTTTAAATTATTTAAAATATCAGTATTAAATGTTTTATGTTAAAAACAAAACATTAGGCCTATTTATGCATCTGTAACTGCAGTTTAAATGCATCCATGTCCCCTCTGAGATACATAAACTGTGTAAATACATCTAAATGCTATTTCAAATGCAGATTCCAGAAGTGTTTTCTTATGTTGGAATGAAAGACACTAAGTACCAGATGAAGTGCTTCTTATTCTTACCCAAAAATACAAAATGGATGAAAGAGTTAAAACTAGGGATACACCAATACCGATACTGGTATCGGCCCGATACTGAGCTCTTGTACTCGTTAAAATGCCCCGATACCAAACGCCGATACCACACAGCATGCGATAAGTGCCGTATTCAGACAAAGAAACACCGACAACAGAACAACAGACAGCAGAATGGTTATTAGAGATTAAGGATGTCTACAAAGTATATGTATGCAATGAATATAATGTTAAAATTCAGTATTAACGCCTGTATAGCTGACGTGTGCGAGCTGATAAGCAAAGCACGCAGAGTGGGTTGAGCGCGCGGCGGCGCACATGCGCAAGCTTGTCGAGTTAATATCCCTTTCTCACAGACATCATTGGAAAGTTTGTAGTTGGTCGGATATGTCAAGTTACTTAACGGTAGGGAGGGAGAGAGAGACAGAGAGAGCGAGAGAGAGAGCGCGCGCACTTCTGTTGTGTAATCTTTTATGTTCACTCACTCAACACATGCATCATTTGGATTAAAACTAAACCGTAAAAATAAGACCATTTATAGGGGCATTCACTATAAACATAATTTATTTTCAACCTTAGGCATACACGACTTTCTGGCGAAAGTGAATCTAGCAGCCTGTGTGAAATGCGCTAGGCTGCACTACTTGTCCCTCTCATTCATTTCATAGTGACGTCAGCTAACTTCCGCTTTCCCGCAAAGCAGTGTATCTGTACTTCCGTTATACCTATACACCGGAGACTTCTCGGGAAAATGTAGGAAAAACTTGAAATATGAAAGGCGTTATTTAAGAGTTAAGACTAATAATGTTAATGTACTTACAGTCGGGTTCTTTTGCGAACGTTTTTCTTCATGTGCTTTAGATAGGTGGCTTGCTTGCCGCAATTGCTTGCTTTCAGATTTGTATGACAAAGATTATCTGTTCACACTAAATACATACTTGAAACCTTTTCACTTGTTATTTTGGCTTATGTCATTACTTGGATAATTTGTGAGTATGCTGTGTAAATTAAATTCCCCCTATAGTTGGGCAATAAAAAGACAAACTACATGATTTTGTTTTTATTTACTATGGGGAAATGACATGGACACAAGTCATATTTTTTATATTAAATCGTTTTACTACATGGCAAGTTTCACATTCAAAAAGGCAAGTGGTCTGAAAAGAAACTCATTATCCAGTTCAAGAATATGGCTTAATATTGAAACAATACAAAAAGGACAGCCGCGTAGTTCTACAGAACTTTGGACTTCTACAATTACTTAAATTCTTCCATTCAATTTCGCTTTAACTAACGTACATGTATACCGTGTTTTTACTTTTTGAATTATTATTGATTAATATGATCGATTGTATTTTATTTTCATTATAGGCTATATGCAATGTGATCTTTAAAAACAGCTACGTTTTATATTTATTTACACAAATGCTGGCATCAGTTTTTAACTGTAAAAGCTTTTTATATAAACTTAATATATTTAATTTTATTTCTGAATTATATTAAATAATAAAACGGAAAATTATAGACCCCATTTTATTGATATTTAAATAGTACAAGCTTATGTTGAACTATTCTTGTACATACAGGCGCTGTATTAAGCAGGACATAAATTACTGAATGAAAAGGCTTTCTGTTACCACATGTAAATGTCTAAAACGTTTGTTTCTTTGAGAAATATATCTAACCAACTTCATCTAACTGCAATAAAGACAGCAAACAGTGCGCGAGAGTCGCGGGAATCAGTGACTGCAGTGCTCCGTTTTCAACTCCTCCCTCTCCCTGAATGAGGATGAGAATAGACAGCAGCAGCCATCCTCTAATCGTATTTGTGGCAGTTGTACAAGCATTTGGGTGAACTCCATGCTGGTAGCGATAGCATTTATGCTGGCGGAA